ACATCAGTCGATAAAGTGAAAGGGTTACAGGTTAGAAAAAAGGGGTCTTCTTAGCAATTGCCCCCACCCCTTAAAAAAAATTTAAATAAATTTAAAGTTATTGAATGAGAAGAGAAAATGATATCTACTACACCTTGAAAATTTGCCCAGAGAGTGAAATATTAAAACTGTTTTTCTTGGCATAATACGAAACTCGTATAGGGTACCTACCTGCGCTGGAGTTTCACGGATAACAAACCATTTTAATGGACTTTCATTGTCGGTCTCTATAAATTGAGACTTACAATCTCTTGATTTTTTTTAGTCTCTAAGCTCTAAATTTAGGGTGGGAAGAGGGGGCGGACGCCCCTTTCCCCCTCATGGATTGGATCCCCTGCCGACCCAAAGGTTCTCCCGTTTGTACTATTTTTGGCTGACTGACTCCATTTTTGGCTGACTGACCCCTTTGACGCCAAAATGTTTTTCTTTATTAGGGCGGAACCAAAATTGACCAAAATTTTCCAAAAAGTGTCTAAAAACGCCTTTTTTTCCCTGTTATTTCATAAGTTTTTTCAAAAATTTGCCAAAATGGGGTCTTTAAAGTGATTTGGGAGAGCTCGCAAAATCAATTTGATCGACCTAAAATTTTTTTGTGAAAATCGGCCCCCTCCCCTCTCTTTAGAAAACCCTAGATCCGCCCCTGTCTAAACTATATTTGAGTAAAAAAGAAGCCGAATCTTACTTTTATTTCAAATCAGTAAAGACCATTTTAATCAGTAAGGTTCTATTATAGTGGATTATGGGTGATATGTTACAATAGGTGGTAATTGTGAGTGTAGTGCATGTTTTGAACTGGAGAAATATAATGCTTATGAGTATAGTCATTTCATTTTCAATCGATTATACTACTACTAAGATAGTTTTTGTAAATACAATATTCTGCCAGTGAAAAGCTATTTTAAAAAATTAAAATTTACACTTCTTTTGCAGAAAAATTTGGCAGTTGGATTAAATTATAAGCAATGTATGAATTATAACAAAAAGCGATGCAGCTATTCAAATTGAAACTACCAACTATTGTAATATATAACCGGATTATGATCATTTTTTCTCGAGTCATTTTTCTGAAGCTTTGAAACACAATTGATTACGTGAATTTAGTCTGGAAATATATTAAAAATCTGTTGACACTTTCACCAAAATATCGGCTTGCTGTGGTAGCATAAGTTAGTCCAGTTAATTTTTTTTGCTCAAAAAGTTGAAAATTATCGAATAAATAATCTAAAAGAGAAAATTTATCGTTTATTGCGAAGGAATTGATAAGAAAATAACTGAAACAGAGCGCGAATAAACAAGTCAATTTGAATCAAGAACAGCTTCAAGAACAATTATTATAAGTTTTCATATTATTAATATAATACATATAATATATTATAATATATATCAACTATTATTTAAGTGTTTCAAAATTAAGTTGCAGCGAAACCCTTTTGTTGTGTTTTGAGCTTGCAGGGAAATTTGATTGAAATTCTTTTGGTTTTCTTTTGAGTTGCTCCAAAAAATTTCCAAAATCTTTATCAGGCTCGAGGCATTTTGATTTACAGTAGAGAGTAGATGAAGCAGAAAGTAGAAACACCACTGCTCTTATATCAGTGCAAAGCCCTGATGTTCCGACTGCCCCGTAACTCGTCTCGAATATATATTTTTTCATTACTGTTTTAATCAACTATAAATTTTGTTCCACCAAAATCAAAAGCAAGTGCTAACATTTGAGTAAACTAAAATGACCATAGTTGGCCTCTTTTCAATTAACAATTACGAGACTGGATAATTCTCCACACATAGTTAGTTACCACATTGAAATTATCCAAGTACTGTTCGAGCAACGTTTCCAACCGCTTTTAGTCTGGTGCAATCATACTCGCTTGGCAAAACACATATATCCGGATTGATACGCATACGCTGTCAACTTTGTAAAATCGGTCTGACTTGAAAAAAAAACACCCCAGGATTATATATTTTTCGCTTTCTTCGAAAATCGGAACAAAAATTATCTTGTCATTCAAGCATTATGCAATGCACTGATGATGCATTGCTGAGATTATTTGAATTACCAATTTCGAAATTCTCAGCAGTTTTTTCACATTGGATTGGCGTTTAACAATAAAACTCATCATAACAAAAAACTGCTTAGCGATTAACCAAAACTAAGTCACGCCATCTTTTTTTACCCTTAATTGGGGGTTACAATTTGGGCTTTTTTAGGCAATCGAAGGTTTGGCCGCATTTAGTGGTTCAATTAATGAGCTGATTATATCAAAAAAGCATTTCATGAAGCCCTTTTCAAACTATTTTCGAAGCTCGCTAGGCTTTAAAAATAGTTTAAAAATGAATAAATTGTCAATTTTTGTATAATTTCCTGCTTTGAAAAAAAAATTATTTAGAAAATTTACAAGATTGCTCCGTTTTAGTTTTTGGCCTGTATAAAAAGCTCTATTTGCTTCATTTTGATGAGCAATTTTTTGGCAGGTTTGGCGTATTTTTAGTTATAAACACTTTTAAGAATTTTTATGAACGCTTGTAGGCCATCGAAACAGGTATCAAATTGAAATCCTTTCAGTCGTTACAGTGAAAAAAAAATCTTATTTCAAACAATTTGTTTTGCAACATTGGTCAAACTGTTGCTTATTCACTAGTTTTTGGTAGAAGTTAACTGGAAAGGCAGGTACATGTATTCAACATACAAATTACGTATTCAACATACAAATTACGTATTCAACATACAAATTACGTATTCAACATACAACTTACGTATTCAACATACAAATTACGTATTCAACATACAAATTACGTATTCAACATACAAATTACGTATTCAACATACAAATTACGTATTCAACATACAAATTACGTATTCAACATACAAATTACGTATTCAACATACAAATTACGTATTCAACATACAAATTACGTATTCAACATACAAATTACGTATTCAACATACAAATTTTCTCATACGGAGAAACGATGTGCTTCTGGTTTAAGTCAATCAAACTTTTCATTAACTTTTTGACAAAAAATGTGGCCTCAACTTGAAACAACTAGCTTGTTTCGTTTAATTTTTTATAACTCTTGGAAGTCTTTCCAGTTTTTTTAAAGAAAATTATGCAGTTGCTACTGTTATCGGGGCTTTTTGGTATACTCAATTTGAGGCTAAATTAAGTAAAAATTATTCCTGTTTACCAGACTCATATTATAACTTTCTTGAGTTTCCAATTAATGTTGTCCCAGTTTTATTACAAAATTGTTTTAATTTTTTTATAATGTGGTGGTACTAACCAAAATTAACCCACTTTAATCTGACTCTTTCAAAATAGTCTTTTCAAACTTTTTTTCCCAGGTTGGTTTCGATACAGTGGCTATCTGGTTGGCAGCTCTCTTCTCTCTCGCTTGTACTATAATCATGTTCACCTCCAAGTGTCTATGCTGGGACCGACTGAGAGGTCAGCCGAGGGGGGAGGAGGATAAAGAGAGAAGGGTGCTGGATGGGTCCCAGGCAGAGCAGGGCGAGGGGGGCAGTAGCGCTAACAGGTACGGGTTTTTTTCTTTTAGTGAGGAGAAAGGGGGAGTTTGAGGTAATTTAATATTACTATTTCGCAAGGGTTACACCCTACATACAAATTGTTTCAGCTCTGAAAAAAAAATCCACTGATTAAGAATTATACAACTGCTTTTAAATTATAAGGTAATGTTATCTGACTTATATGTGTTAATGTTACGGTCAACTCAAGCAATGAGTTCGGATCAAAACTAGCCTCGAATCATGAACCTTTTGATTGAGAGTTAGAGAACTTGGCTGGCTACATTAACATTGTGAAAGCGCAACTGTGGATCTTGCATTTCAAATGAACTCTTATAAAAATGTTGCTCTTATCAGTTCAATGCAACTAAAATCCTGAAACTGATTTAAAAAAATTTGAAATTATTTTTTGATTTCAGACTGAGGCCGTATCATAATCTTCAAAGTTTCTGAACTCAAATACCCAAAAAAGTTTCAGAACCCCCATTTTTACATAAAATCATGCTGAAATCTTTACTTTTTTCTTTAGGCCCCCAGCAGACGAGAGTTCAACAAAGGCTACAACCCTCAAAGCCCCTAGTGAAACAACCTCTCTCGCCCGAGCACGAGAGAAGGACGAGAAGCCGAGCAGCAGTCTCGGATCCGACTTGGCAAGTCGTCGCTCGAGTCAAAGTGTCGACTACATGCCCCGAGTAGCCGAAACAACTCGACGGGGCACTAAGCCGACAGACCGAAAAGCCGACGAGGAGTCTAAGTCATACGTCGGCTCAACGGGCAGTTCGGCTCTGCAAAGTTCCGACTCTAAAGTGGACAGACGAAAGCGACAGTCGAGAACGACTCGCGGAAGCAGGTCGGTTGACAAGTCGGATGTTTCCCGAAGTGTTATCGGATCCAGGGCAATAACCAAAAAAGGAAGTGTGAATCCCTCGCAAAATACCAAACAGGACTCGGATGTTTCAAGAAGTGTAGTCGGTTCCTCGAAAATTCCGACGTCTAAAAAAGGAAGCGTGATAGAGTCGCAAGCGTCGTCGAAAGGTGTTGTCGCATCGACCCGAAAACCTAGCGAACGCAGAGGA